CTACGGTCAGCAGCGCGCGCCCGCTCCCTCTCTCGCGTGCGCCCTTCTCCCTTCTCTCCCCCCCCCCCCCCTCTCTCTCTCTCTCTCTCCTTCCCCCAATTTTTCTCTCTGTCGTGAATTTTTAATGGCGCGTATCCGCGCCGCCGAGGGAGGGAGGGAGGGAGGGAGGGAGAGGGGAAGGGGAGGCGGCATCCCTTTGTCAGTCAGAGCCGCCCTCGTTCGAACACGTGTTGCAGATTCCCTGGCAAATACCCTCACGCCTGTCACGAGGCAGACACAATACGCTTTGCTTCACCTTCCCCACTCCCTTCTCTCCCCCCCCCCCCCCCCTCCCTCCTTTTTCCCCCCTCTCCCCCCCCCCCCCCCCCTCCCCCCCCCCCCCCCCCTCTCTCTCTCTGCTCTCTCCTTCCCTCTCCGACTGACGCGTGCCGTTACAAAAGGTCTGATTATTGTCAACATCTTATTTTTTTTAATATATTTTTTTGGAAGAGAAAGATGCATACAGGAGAAAGCAAATGGGCGAAGAAGAGGGGAGTTGACGAGACCCGATAAGAAGGTGTGTTCGATTTCCGGCCAATATAGATGTGGCATAAGGCAGCTACAAGCGTTTCTCGTGACGCGTTTCGTCTTTGATTTTCCTTTGCGGGGTAACTGGAAGAGCGTAGAGCTAAGAGGCGGGCCAAAGGGACGGGGCTGGGCGCCGCAGGGCGAGCTGGGGTGGCTCAGACCAATCGGATTGGCCAAACGCGCCAAATAAATTGAATGATGATGCAATTGCAATTTCATCTGTTGCTATACGATACGCACCCTTCACTTCAGTCGTGAGGCGCGTAACAATTGTGTTTTCGAATGGAGGCACTTGTGCAATATGAGGAAGCAGGAAACCTAATTTCCCATCATGCCCTGCTGCTGCGACATAATTTTGTCTCCTTGATGTTTGCATAAAATTTAATATTTCTGTCTTTTTAATAATACCAGGCCACTAGCCCCCTCCTTCCCCAACACGCCGTCGGCCAGAAATAATTATTTTCATTATTTTGTGCCAGAAACTTAACGAGCGCTGTTGAATGACTTTGGCGCGTATCTGACGCTAGTCTCCTTGGCAGTGTTGCCTGTTTAATTAAAGGGCATCCACCCCTGGCTCCGTAACTTAAGCCCCCAGTGCGGCCCACCAGCGTCCAGGCACGACACACCACCATGGCGGTGCTGTGACGAGAAGCGTCCGGATTGACATTGTTTAATGGAAAACGCATTTTATAAAATTTCCAAAACTGTATTTCTTTCCTTACATAATTTTTCATATTTTAGTTCTAAATTACAAACTGCAATTTGTCAGTTTTCCTTAGTTTTTAGTATTGTTTACTCTTGTGAAATTCGTACTTTGCTAATCTATATGTTGGGAGCAGAATTGCCAGTTATGGCTCCCTTGGACTAGTTCCCCCATTAATTTCTTTTAAAAGTCCTTGATAGTACTTCAAATTTCTCATGAAGTGCATAAAATATTAATTCTTAGAGTACAAAAAAAAATCAATTTGCTCAGCTAAATCCAGTCTGTTAATCTAATGGTGTGCCCAGTAACCATCCCTTCACCCAGGTGGGCCTAAAACGAGGAAAGCTGGCGCATCAGATCGGGCGCATTGTCGAAGGCGAGTTTTTGTCGAGAGACCCAAATCCGAGTCGAATGAAGAATAGCAGAAAGTTTCGAGGAAAAGGGCAAACGGAATGTCGTGTCGCCCCCGAGGCCAGGAGAAAAATGGAAAAAGCAATGAAAGGGGTGAATCGTAAAACAGCTGAAGAGAACGGCGCAACCGAGGGTCGTAGTGAACAAACGGTGTAGCCACTGCATGTGGCAGAGGGTCGGGAGGGGCCGTGCAACTGGGCTTGCATTGCATTTGCCGCATGCCTGGCTTGTTTCGAATCACTTTGAGAGGGAGAGGGAGAGCAGGGCGGCTGCGGCGGGAAGTTTGAGGGGAAAAGTTCTGGAAATGATGATGAATGCGGTAAAATTTGTGCATTTATGGATAGGTCAGCGGGCGTGCTTTACTGATTGTGTATAAGTGTATACTTTTTGGAGAATGGAGTGAGGGGGAATGAGGGGTTTGCGTATTGATTCAGGAAAAATATGATATTCGCACAGTGGGTGGTTGTGTGCAGCAGCTGTAACTTTTTGCCTGTATCATCAGTTTTATTTTGATGCCGGGGGGGGGGGGGGGGGTATTCGATCGAGGGGAGGGGCATAAATTACTCCCACCTTTGGGAAATGCAGAGCGAACATGCACTCTCCGTTGCCTCGTTGCTCTTGTCACCTAGCGCTACCTGGATTATACCACGCTAAAATAAAATACGACAAAAACAGCGTCCGAAAGTTGTGGATTTGGTCGTGAATCGGACGAGTTAATTCAATTAAAAGCATTCTGCATGGCGTAGGGGCAGGGCCCGCGAGGCAGTCGGACTCGGAGGGGTGCGAAATGGTATGCCGTGTCACGCACACGGTCCGGGATCATTTATTCCTCTCATTTTCACACTTCCTTCTGCTCGGAACTGCTATGCTGGGCTGGGTGGTCCATGTGAAATCGGTCTAAAAACAAAACTCCTTCATGACTTCACTTCAGTTTACGGTCTTGAGTGTTGCCAGCTTTTTTCACTGAAATCCTTGTAGCCACATTGAATTAAATTTTAAAGTTGTGATTCGTGTTTTGCGGAAAATGTTAGCGTTTTATGAAAGGTTTTGGCTTCTTTTGTGTGCCAAGTTTTGTCGAAAGAGAGCACGATGGGTTGCATGGTTTTCTCTCAGGGTCACAGCTTACCACGTACTTGCTAATGTCTGCGAGCGAAGACCTTTGTGTTTCCCTTCTTTGTCAATCAGGGCCCTATCTATTTCCAATTCCATCCCGGACAAGCCAAGCAGCCCCCATTATGATCCGGGAGGGGTCGGGGGCAATCAGATCCGGGGAGGGTCGCGCGCGTTGGGCCCCCTCGTGGCCATTACCGAAGGGCCATGTGGTGGTCTGCGGTGGGTGGGCCTCTTAGGCCGCGGGCTGGACTCATGGATCTGGCCTCTCTCTCTCTCGCTCCACCCCCGCCCCCTCCAGATGCACCATGTCAGATAAGGGAGGGGGATGAACAAAGTGAGGAAGGGACGGGGCAAGTCTGTAATCATCTGTAAAGGCGCCGTATCTAGGATGGACTGAACGCCGCCGCGCCCTCCTCTATTTCGCATCCGCCCCTTCTCTCTCTCTCTCTCTCTCTCTCTCTCTCTCTCTCTCTCTCTCTCTCTCTCGCTGGCATTGGCGCGTGAGGAAGACTAAACAGGACAGGGGGCGGCCCTGCATGGGGGCGGCGAGCACTGTGGTGCAGGAGGTGAAGTGCGTACATGCCATTATCTAACGAGTGAAAGGGGCAGGGTGCGCGAGAGAGAGAAAGGGGGGGGGGGGAATTGTTACATCGACGAAGGGTGGAAAATTCACTTATCCAATAGGTACGGTCGCTACGGACGCCCGTCGAACTTAGCGCCCCTCCTCGAATTAATTGCGTTTAGTTAATTCTCATCCTCCGGTCTCTTTGTCTTCTGCTCCGCTTCTTGCGTAAAAACTTTTAAATTAACCGTCAGACTCCCCCTCGCCCCCCCCCCCCCTGCTCCAGAGGGGTGGTGAATTATTTTTTTCTGCCCTGTTCGCGTTTTTCACGAGGTAATTTGAGTTTGAAGACATGAAGATGGATTAGATCTCGTTTCTCCGGAGTGAGGATTGATTTTGTTCAATTATCGAACTTGACGGAGAGAGCTCCGCAGGTGTATCGCGGAAATTGAGTGGAAGTGGTAGACGTAGGGGGTTGCTGAGTCGCCCCCCCCCCCCCCCTCTTTCGCTCCACCCTCCGCCTCCTAATTTCGACGAATGCAGGCACCTCCAAAGTAAGGGAATTAAAATCTTTTTTCGAACTTTACCTCAAGATTAAGGATGATCGCAAGGCTCTAAATCACTGTAGTGGATGGTATTACCAGAAAAAGGATACGACAAAATAATGTCGGTAGAGTCTCCCCCCAGAAGTGGCAGTGCGCTATCCGCGCGATGATTCTCAACAAGCAGGAGTAGGTGTAGAATTGATTAAATCGTCCATTCATGAGACGTTTTCACCCTGAAGGAAGTGGACGGACACTTGGGGTGCGATGATGAATCGTCTCATAAATGCAGTGGCCGGGCTCCGCGGGGCTGACTGGGCGGCGGAGGTTTCTCTCTTTTGAATCCTATTGGCGCCTCCCGCCCCTCCCGCCGTCGCCCTTCTGCTGCTGCAATGTTATTGAGTGCTGACAGTTCAATAAGGACGAATGCAGACCGTGCAATTGTGCCCCAAACGTAAACGCCATAAGCAGGCCATTTCATTTTTTGTTCCCTTAATGATTAACAATTAAAGGGCTCTATTTCCATGACTTACCCCTTCGAAATGTTTACAAAATTAGCAGTTTTTTTAAGGCCTGTAGCATGGTTTTAATTTTTTTGGCGGGTCAGTTTTTGAGCTAGATTGCTCATCTATGAACTCGAAGTGTCTTTAAATAGTACAAAACCACCTTGAAATTTTCAGATAGCTAACTCAATTTGTTCTCGAGTTATCGTGGGTTCAGACATGTCTGCAGACAAACAAACAGAATGGAACTTTTCCAGTGTAGTATGGGCAGTGTTGTGCAGTATCTAGATAAAAGTATCTAGATACTGTATCTAGATACTTTTTTAGTATCTTTTACTGGTATCTAGATAAATTTTGTGACC